GCAACCTTTGTGAGCTGTAGGTAAGAGGGAACCTGTATTTACAGTGACCTCTGGATTTAAACAGATAAACTTTATCTCGTGTACTTGGCGTACTTAAATATTTGAGACATTACTGCAGCTGAATGTGGAATATTTGGTCAAAGCTGAACATATGTTGTGCATAGTTTAGAAATGTCCAAACCTTTTGCCAATAGCAATCAGAAGGTTTTTTTAAAAAAACAGGCCCTTAAGACTGTGGTCCAGCTTTGAGTTATTAAAAACCTTTTCAGATCAGTGAAGCAGCAATGTTAAGCTCATAGCTGCCTCTAAAAGATCCATGTAATGTCACTAGCTCTTGCTTTAGATAGGTGAAGTGATCCTGTTTTCTGAGTGGGGAAGCCACTGTTCAGAAACTTCTATCTTTGAGTGGCACCAGCTGGCTCTCAGGGAGGTTAAGTACCGATAACAAGTCTCCGAGCTACTACTTGGATATGCGTCTTCACCATTCTGTAAAAGTATTTCCAATTGACTGGAAAAACGAGGTGCTGTAGGTTATAGCTAGGTTAAGCTGAAAGTTTGGGCTGTTTGTTTTTGGTAAAAATTCATTCTAGTCTTTGTCAGGACCAGAACTTTGAAACCTCAACCATAGGACCTGTCTTACCAGGAAGTGTGTGCTCTATAAACTTGGAAGTTAGAGAAATGACACGAACAAAAGGGAGTAAAATGGGCATATTGACAACTTTGTTGAATGGCATAGTTTTATTTGGTGAATACTGATAGGCGGCAGACTGCTAAACCCATGTGGCAACTGATCATAGTAATGATTTTTCTTTCAATCAGGTGACCAAGATGCAAAACTGAACAATTATCTTGTGCTTACCTTGAAGCAAAAACAAACGTACCACGCTGCTGAATTCATTAAGTGTATCCTGAGCAAGAACAGCAGAGGCACGGAAAAGTGGCTGTAAATGATTCCTGGAGCTTGGGTGCAGCGATCAGGCCCTTGAACAGGATGCCAAGCATCTGAAAGGATATTGGGCACTGAATAAGTAACAGCTCCATTTAGTTCAATGATCATTGGGCTGCTTTAGGGCAGTGCTCTATTAGTAGTTTTTCATGGATGGATTTTTTCTATAATTGAGGTTGCACTTGCTTCAACAGTTGATGAAAAATGTGGAATGATGCATGCCACACACTCAGGAGGCAAAGTAATTTGTTCCTGGCAGGGCAGCTCGTCTTAGGGTGATGCAACCTGATGAGGGCTTTCTGACCTTTGGCAAGTGGAGCCTGCTTTTCTGGTGGGGCATCTTGCAGGGAATTCCCAGAGCAGTAAGTGGGACTGAAGTGGAAAGAGGAAAAACAGAGGCTGGAGAAAAGGTATGGAGGATGTGGATCGGCGTGCTTGCAATATAATGCCTGGCTTCCAGAGATGCTCTAGCGTGAGCTGATGTGATTTTGGAGGAAGCTGCTACGTGCAGTTAGCTCTGTGCTGTATGAACTGGAAAATGGTGGGGATGAGCTGGGAGTGAGAGAGTTGGGAGGGCAGGTGGTTCGTACACTGCGCAGATGCTGTTTTGGGGATGTGCCTCTGTGAGTGGTGCTTTGGGGGTAGGATTGGCTGAAAATGCCATTTGTAAAGGTTAGTCGCTGACTGATGGACAGATTCCTCATCTTTTGACACTGAAGCATTGCTGAACTGAGGAATCAGTAGACAAGTGGCAGTTTGCTTGGGTGCAGAGTCAATTTAGCCTTGAATACAATAATTAACGCTTTTTAGGAAGTATTATGATACCAGTTTGACAAAAATACACGATGTGCAGTGTGGAATGCCATGCTGGTCCAACTGTCTCTGTATTCACTTGGATTGTAGGAGAAGCTTTCTGTGTTTAATATTAAGCCCAGTTCTGTGAAAGCAATTTCAAACTGCAATCCTGCAACACTAATATTGCTGTTAAGGAGATGCTGGAGATACAAGTGGGAGCTTTTTACAAGGGAAACTTCAAGAGCTGTGATGATCTTGATTTAACGAATATTCAATTTACTATTAAATGACACTAAAATTTCTGCTTATACCTAGAACTATAGGGGAAACAACAGTGTCTTTAAAGTTCTTAATACAAAACCATAAAATAGTTGAGCTGTCAGGAATACCCAGTTAGTTGACAGCGTGTTGTGTCGTCTCTGAATGGTTAACCAGTGCTCATGTGTTGTACTAAAGTACCTGAAAGAATTGTAAACGTGCTATCATCTATACCACTTCCAGTTTTTTAGAGACGGATGAAAATACCAGCCGAAGAACATCGGAAATCCCTGCTCCCTCCTGCTGATGGTCTTGGTTTTTCCATCTCCACTCCTGATTTTTGCATACTGTGAAGCTTTTAGCTTGTATCTCACAGGTACTGACAGTCCTAATTAAGCAGTGCAGAAGGCTGGATGTCAAGCTAGTTTAGACTAAAACTGTTATGGAAGCTGCACAGTGAACTGCCTGGGTTATCTGCAGGGCTTGAAAATGTTTCAAAGTAATTCTGCTAGGACATGAAATAGACTGTGCATCTAATCTTGTTGCCAAACCAGTCATTTGGGCAAATAACCGAAACTTTAGGTGTTCAGGCAAATAAGGGCGAGGCATTTGATCAATAAATCATTAGAGAATAAAATAAGCTTTTTATACATTGGAGTTTTCTCATTTGAAAACACTCAGTAATAGAGTGCTGTGGCTTTGTAACAAGTTAGTGTTTAGTCCGACACTCTTTACTTAAAACTTGGTAATAAAATGCATGAGTGAAGGCTTTACATCTATGCTTCATTGAATATAAAGTTAGAATTATGCTGACTGGCTTCTTACTGGCTTTGTCCGATTCAGTGAAACTTCCCTTTTAGATATCTCACTCTGCTACCTGCATTTTCACCATCCTTCAGATATAAATAATCTGTTGTTTTCTTTGGGCTTAAAACCGGTAGGACAGTGTGGTAGCTTTTTTTTTTTTTTTTTAAGTTGCTGCTAGTGATTTGAAATTTAAAACGCCTTTTTGGAGAACCAGGGTGGTTAGGGAAACTTGGTTCTTGAGCTTGTAGTAGTAACAAGTCCTTCACCATGGAAATTTTTCTAAAGTAAGTGACTGCTAACAAAGTTTTCTGACATCTAGAAACATCAACATTCTTTTAAGCTACCTTAAAAAGGCAGCTTTGTTTGCATTCAGAAATACTGATTTTTTTATTTTTTTTTTGCCTAGCATGGTCTTGGCGCATGCGAGGCTATTTTACCTTTTGGCAACAGATTGCAATAAACTGTGCTGCCTGCTTTGCATTGTGGAAGGCATCTGTACGTGAGTCTGTCTGAAGGGTGGCTTTAACTCGGTGTTCTAGTGCGTGTCAGAGCACTGCTGGGAACATTAATCATGAATATAAACAAATTCCCAGGTTTGGGGGGTGGGATTCACTCCTGGTTGAAATCATCCTTAATTAAAAGGTAGCATAACATAGCTTGGGTTGCAGTACTTCTGCCATGCTGCGACTTTATAATGTATCCAAGCCATTTGCCTCCCGGTTCTCTCCTTAAAGCAAGAGACAAGGATGCCTTATCGGCCCTTTAAGTGAGGGGCATGATTATTAAATACTTATGGATGTTAAACTAAAATTTAACTCAACTCTGGCACTGAGCCTGCCGGAGTTCAAGAAACATTTGGACAGTGCTCTCAGACACATGGTCTGATTCTTTTTTTTTTTTTGGGTGGCCCTTTGGGGATCCAGGAGTTGGACTCAGTGATATGTGTGGGTCCCTTCCAACTTGGATACTCTGATGCTAAAATATTGAGATGAAGTCAGAGGCAGGATTCAAGAACAGGGGTGGTAAGTGTGTGGAAGCCAGGAGGCACAGGGCTCACTTGAATGCAAACTTCGCTGAGTTTGTGCTCAATATTGTGATGCATACAGTTGTCTGCAACATTGGTCAAATGGATCAACAATAAAAACAGAAGTCTAGTTGAAGAGGCTGTTTATTAACGTGAACCTTCCCTTTCGGTTGCTGATGCTGACTACAGTGCAAATAAATAAAATGCAGCAGAAACTATGCTAGTACTGAGCCATCACCTGGGAGTCCTTCCTCGTGCCCAGCACATTTCCTCCCAAGGAAAGAGTTCTGGGTAGCTGCAGCTTGCGAGCTGGGTAGCAGATGAAGTACCCACCCCCCAAACTGTGATACACCGAGCGCTTTGGAGTGGGGTTTGTGTGCTTTGCAGGTGGAGGTGGTGTTGGTTCCTCCTGTTCTGCTCACGAGAAGGCTTGGGCCATGCGATTCAAGGCACAGACAGCTGCTGGTCACGGACCGTGACATTTTCCAGCTCTTCTCTTCGTGCCTGCTGCTCCACGTTAATAGCACCTGAGCAAGTGAGGGCAGCAGCAAGCTCCCGGTCATCCAGGAGTGTTCATTAAGCTTTCCCACGAGGAGCAGCAATGTCAGAAATGCTGCTGCATGCAGGAGCCCCTTGCACACCCTCCTGATGCTCTGCTCACCCTGCTCCCGGGCTGCAGGAGCAGCAGCCAGCGCGGCACAGCCGGAGGGGTGGCTGTGCAGGCAGCGTGTGCAGCAGGGGATACCCGACTGTGGGAAAATATTTTCTGGATTTAAGTGGCTTGGGCTATGTGATCTCATAAGGGATGGCGAAAGCTGCGCTTCAATGTTCCTAGGGAGTTGGAGATTTTTCTGGAAACGAAGGATGGGCAGACTTCAGAAACACAGCTCCAACAAATCACGACAGTGTTATTTTTTTCTACTGAATGAGTTGTTTCTTGGCATGTGATGTTATGGTTAAATATTTCTCAAATTCCTTATCTGCTCTTTATTACTGAGAATTTTTTAACGTAGATGCATATAGAGTACTTTGTCTGACTGCACAGTCAGATCTTCTTGATTACAGATTCTTCTAAATATAGGTTGTATTTTTTTTGTTCCTGTCCTCTCTTCCCCCAACCCCCACCCTTTTCCTGGCCTTAAGCAAACATCTTGTTCTTTTGCTTTACAGGCTCCAGATAAAAGGAAAGCGTTAGAAGAGACCAAAGCCTACACAACTCAATCTCTAGCCAGTGTTGCTTATCAGATCAATGCACTGGCCAACAATGTATTACAACTGCTGGACATCCAGGCATCCCAGCTACGGAGGATGGAGTCCTCAATCAACCATATCTCCCAGGTAATCTTTTTAATAGAGGCATTATCTTGCCTCCTGTATTATTGAGAGCTGCATAGTTTACATTGTCTTCTTTGAATTCTCTGAGTAATGCGACTGAAAATGGTAAGACTTTCTTCTTTTAATATTTATACAAACCACTTTGTGATGGAGGTCACGATTGAAATGAAACAGATCCTTTATCAAGAAGCACTAGGACTATATTTGGCTTAAAGCTGGACTTAATTATTAAGATTCCAGAATCAGAAGCTGCAGTTGAGGAAGAAGGGGTAAGGAAAAGTATTCTATTTTTGAATGAAAGGAATTCAGAGGATTCAAATGAAAATGTTCTTCAGTGCGGTCAGTGAATTTAAAACCTTGTCGGTCAGCCAATCCTGTGCTAGTGGTACGTCTTAGACCGAACTGCTTGAACTTGAAAGAAAATGCTTCTCATGGCCTCTGCTGTCTGTATCCCTGTAGGCCCTGCTAACCTCTGTTTACTGTTCCTAGAGTAATTATGGTTTCCAAAAACTTTGTGAAATGGCAGCTCAGTGGTTCCCCTGAAAGTGTGTCAGCAGGGAGGAGATTCCAGTGCGTGTGGAAGGGCCTTCCTAGTAACAAACCTTTCTGAAACACTTCTTGACTTTGTGTGTGTGAAGAACTAAGAGTTAAAAGCAGTAACAAGTATTTAAAAAGCAGTTGCTGCTGAAACAGTGAAGTAGGATGAAGTACAGTTGCTGGAGATGAGTTTGGTGCTCTGTCAAGTAGTATTCAGAGGTTTTGTGGTGCTCAGATTTTGACTACCTCCAAAGAAGTGACTGCACAAAGGACTGAGCCAGCAGGCCTTCACAAACATTGCGTGTCCTGTTGTACTGAACACATCTTTTCTTATGTGTTTCAGAGCCTCAGTGTGTGAGGCGGTTATTGTTAAATCCTCATTGGCCCGCTGATATGACTAACCATGGAAAAAGCCCCAAATGTTTGATACCAGCACAAAAGCTGGTAACCCTCTGTCCTGTTTGCTGCTTGAACTGAAGGCACTATGCTGAAAGCTATTGGGTCACCTGATACATGAACTGTTTGCTAAAGACTGGGAACAATCAGTGCTTTGTAGAGCTTCTGAGCAGTGTTTAGCAAGGTCACTTGTAGTTTCTGTCGCTGGTTGCTCCTTCCTGAGAGTAATCCTTGCTAATAAATGAACTTCTGTGGAATAATTCTGTAGAACTAAACTAGATATGGGTGATACGTACTAGCTTAGCTGCTTGCTTTCAAATGTACACGATCAAATGCTTAAACTGTATATCTTAATCTTGCTGTGCTGTTTCTTGATGGACTTCCTAAAATCTGAGTTTCCAGAGCATCTTTTCCCATGTTTGTATCACTCGTGAATAGTTCTGTACCACTAAAGCATGGGGATGACTGTTCTCAAAATGGAATTCTTCAACACAGAAGTATTACCTAGAGACACAAATTTAAGGCACTGACAGTCAATTAACTTGGTTCTGGATTTTGCAATACAGAGCAGATACCTGTGGGGTAAGGTTCAATTTGATTTAAAACTTTTCTGGTAACAAGCGCTCTGAAAGGGCGGTTTCTGTTCCCTTGCACCTCCGTCACGCAGTACTGCCACGCTATTTCAGTTCTCTGTGCATGTTTTCCAGAATGACTCTGGCCTAAACGACTGGACAGCTAATCTTGATTAGTAGCCACTCGACATTTTTCCTAGCTATGTGCCGCCTTCAGTGGAAAAAGCACTCATGAAAAGTTAAATGGGGAGGTGTGCTCTGTTCTGGCTACTGGAACTTAATCGTACAGACGGAAAAGTTGCTTGCTTTTATAGGAAAAAATGAATTCAACTCTTTTGTGTGTGTTGAGAGCAAGCAGAGGCTTCATATGAGTAATCACACTGGGGTGAGGGAGCACTGCTCTGAACAGACAGCGAACAGCTCCAGGAAAGGCTTCTACTCTGGCTGCTACATGAAAGCCAGCTCAGCTGCATCTATATTTTCTGCAGTCAGAGTTGACTTCCAGCTGTAATGTGGCGGTCTGAGGTGGCCTGCAACATAATTATTTACTACACCCATGATACAGAGCTGTGCATATACAGCCCAGCTCTTTGGTTTAAACCACTGCTACTGACTTTGACCTTTCCAAGCTGTTCTGATACTTGGGGAGGAAACCTCAGGTAGAAGTTCAGCTACTTCTGATGCAGGGTACAAAGACAGAGCCAGCATGAGTGAAGTACTGTTGTGGTGTGGCCTCTGAACTTCTCCTATGGGACACTGGTGTGAAAAGGGCAGCAGGGGAAAGGTTTGAGCCCCACATGACTTGTGCACCCACAAATGCTGGGTTTTAGCAGAGCAGTGGTTCAGCTGGGGAGGAGCTGTTTGTCTTCAGCTGCAGCGAACCAAAAGAAACTTTCCTTGAGGACCAAACAGCAATAGCTAAGTGTTTAGCTTTCTTTGCAGCATCTGAAACGTCAGGAACAGGTACTGATTTCTTTTGTAGAGATTTTAGGGAAGGTGGATGAATGCATAGTCCGGACAGTGATAGAGTAAAAGGGTCAGCCTGCAGTGGGAGACAGCAGGAAGGACTTTGGACTTCGAAGTGGGACAGGAATGAAGACCTTAACATTTGGTATATGACACTTCTTAAGGTGATTGCCAATTCAGTGAATAAATGAAGCATTTCCTCATGTTCCTTGCTGATGTGTTAAACACTGTATTTGTAATCTGAATGAAATTTATGCTTTTAAATGAATTTCTAGTCTGCTGTTTACACTGATACTGTTCATTTGTGTCATTCCTGCATGTGTCCCCAAGCCCATGAGTGAATTCTCTAATAAATGAATAAATTCTGTAGTATCTTCCCCTTTATTCTAAAAAATTGTCATTTAGCAGAGAAGTCAACAGTTTATCTCTTCATAGCTTTCACATGGGAGCTCTTCATAAACATTTGACAGGGGAGAGCTGCCCCTCTAGAAAGCTGGGCCTACGCCTTTTTGCTCTTGTGGCTTAGGTTTCTTGGTGGTTCTCCCATCTCCTCTTTCCTCCCCCCAGGAACAAGAACTAACTTAGGAAACATACTTTAAGATACGCTTTTGCTGCTTCATTTCCACAAGCTTCAGGAGCATGAAGATGTGATGGAGCCAGAGCTGTCAGAGAAGAGAGATGTTGACAGGGACATCCTTGTTTACTGTGTCCAACTGAAAAATGAACTGATCAGCTCTCACAAATGTTTATGTCTGAGCAGCTGCAGTCCTGGGTGTAGCAACTATTTTTTTTTTCCTGGTCATAAATATTTTTTTTAATAGCTCAGTATTTCAGTCCATGCCTGTTGAATCACGAAGAAAGGAATAGACTCCTTTTTAAGAAATGTTTTACACCAGGAAACAATGCACCCCTTAAAATCTTCAGTGTTAACATTCCCCTCTGCATCTGAAGCTGTTCTCCAGTGCAAAATGAGGGCTATTACAGAAAAGTGTTCTGAAAGCATAATTCTCAGCAAGAAAATATATGTGCATCTTTTGTCACCACTAAAGGTTAGAAGCAGAAAATTACTGAATTGGTTTAGAAGAGTCTTGCCTGTCGCCCCCATGTCTAATCCATTGCACGTGTAACTCAACACAACTCTGGCAAGCAGAAAGCCAAATGCATTTTGTACAGTATGGTTGTCTGGTAACTCCTGTGGATTCAGGCTTCAGGGAAGCTCTGCCAGTGATGCTCTGGGGCTTAGAGGGATGAACTTGTAAACAGTAGCAAGTTGAGCAGGCTGGCTGGTCTTCAATGCCAGGAAAAAAGAGCGTAATAGCTGCTAAGTGGTCAGCAGGTCTCTGATATTAAGAGGCATAAGGTAGTGCACATACAGTGGTGACTCCTAGTGTTTTAGTTTATGGGGATGTCTGTGGATGGCCATGCCTGGGAGCAAGCATGAATTACTCAGGTACTCTTGGTATGCCTGTGGATGGTACTCTTCAGTTCCACCTAATGGTTCCAAGGAACAGCTTCAGGTATTTCACCCTAAAGTTGCCTCTTTAAAAGGAACAGGATAAATAAAACTCTGATCTCTGATGTGAAGAGCGTATGGGCTGGACAAAGACTGTTAAGTGGGAAGAAAATTAGCCAGATCTGGGAAATGGTTGAGTGCTACTAACATTGTTCAGAACATTCTTTAGAGACCACTGTGAACATAAAGCATGTCCTCAGCAAATCTGGGGATAACTCTAAATTAGGAAAGTTGGCTCATGTGCTGAATGACTGAGCTTCAGGGCAGAGGAGCCTTGAGAAACCTGAGGATGGAGCCAGCAACTACCCTAGGAGAGCTGGTGAGGTGCAAGGCCGTGTACCCAAGGTGGAGTAACCCCGTGTGTTTTTGCAGACTGGGGGTTGACTGAGCCACAGCCCTGCAGTGTCTACAAATCCTTGCTAGCTCCACTTCCATACAAACTTTCCCTTCCACGCATCCAAAAGTGCATGAGGAAGCGCTGTTTCTGCAGGAACAAGAGTATTATCTAATGTATGTCTTAGGAAGAAAATGGCATCTTTCTGCTTTTCTTGCACTGCCTTCATTGCGAGCAGACACAAATATTCCTAATGTGGTGAAGAAACTTGCCCCCTTTGCTTAAATTAACCTTGCCTTGGGTGGCATTTGCTTTCCTAATAAAGTGCTGACAGTTATCTCTGTGGCCTTTGCTTCACATCCTGTTCTTCCTGTACTCTCCGTGATAGAGGCCAAGGCTCTCAGAAGTTGTATTGTGCCTGCTCTGGTTATCTCTCTCCTTAAGAAAATTGTTAACTTTGTTCATATCAGCTTCTACGCCTTATGTATGAGTTGCTCAGAAGGTAACATAACACGAGAGGCTTGCCCTGTCAGCTCTTCTGTTGGGAAATTCTCCTCCTCATGACCACAAACAAGCACACAGAGGATCCGTCGAACTCCTGTGCCATTTGGCTGATGAGTTAACTGTCATGGGAATGCTTTATTTTTATGTCTGGCTGCGAAAAACCAGCTGTAACCCTTTCTGT